ATTTGGCTTGGAATTCATCTGATGTAGGGTTTCCAGTTTAAAGGGTTTCAGTAGGGTCTGTGCTAGCTTGCTTCCTGGACCCAGATGAGCATCTTTCATGTTGGAAAGCTCTTCCTGATACCCACATGGGACTCAGATGCCTGCTGCATTCTCCCTCCCTCTTCCTCCAGGTAAGACAAGAATAAGGAATCTTCTGTGAAGACCACTGCATCTGGTCACCCCTGTTTCTTACGTCACTTTGCAGTTGTCCCCCAGCCTTCGCCCTCAGCAGCTCCGGAGTGTCTGCCACCGTGGTGAACCTGGAGATGCGCTCGTCATGCCCCCTCTTGTATTCCACCTGATGGAGAGACACCACACAATTAAGGTTGCGCAAGGCCAGACCTCCAGAGAACTCTCCTGAAGCTATGCTGTCAGTCTACAGGCAACTCAAACCTGTGGCAAATTTATTATGGTCCCCCAAGCACTGATATTAATGTGCTAAATTTAAGGGGGTGCCAGGTATGTTGGCTCATGCCTATAATCCCAGCACTTGGAGGCTGAGGCAAGAGGATCACCATAAGTTTAAAGCCAGCCTGGGCTACAAAGTAAGTGAAAGGCCAGCCTGACCTGCATAGTGAAACCCTATCTCTAAATAAATATTCAAGAGGGTGCCAGATACTTCTAGGTGTTAACAAATAGTGACTTAATCTCTATAACAATCACATCCAGTGAAAAATGTGTCCCCCCACACCCGCCCTTACAAGTGAAAAGCCAAGGAACAGAGAGGTTAAGTAATGTTCGTGACCCTCCAGCTAATACATGATAGAACCAGGAATCAAGTCTCAACTTTGTGGTTCCAAAATCTGAACTTGTAACCAACAACTACACCACCCTTCAGGAAGTTCTGCCACCCAGGTAATAAAAATCAGCAGTCTCAAGAAATTGTTTGGATCTTGAGATGAGTTACGCGGCCTTTTCTCTATGTTGTGAAATGTGGCCCCATCAAGGGACGGGAGATAAATGGGAGGAAAAAGGTAAGAGCATAGCTTTCTCCATACAACAGCAACAGCCCTGGTGTTAAAAACACTTGCTAAAACGTCTTCCTTGTGAACCTCAGGGCTTAATCAGTGACAACCATAAGCACAGTCGACGGCACTTGGCAGCAGGACACTCGCCTGGCTGGCCAGCTGGTTGGCTTTCTTGGCCCTTTCATAAGCAGGCGTGATCATGGCTGGAAAGCTCCCCTTGCCGCTCTGCCGTCCGTAGTCTTCCGTGTACTCCTGTTGGCCAGAACCAGTCTCAGCGTGAGAACAGTGTGAGGTGCAGGGTGAGAGCCCAAAGCCCTGCCGCGAACCTGGCTTCATTATTTGGGGACATGCCAACCACTTGGAATAAGTTTGATCGTGGCATTCGACTGGCGATTTTTATACATCATAAATAATGGAAAAAGTCATGTTCTCCAAGTCAAAAGAGATCCTCTTCAACACTTAGATGAGATTTTGTGGATCCTGGCACAACCCCACCAGTATCCTCTCACTCCAGGCTATGATAACCTAGCAATTGATGGAAGAGACTGTTGCGACTTATCCAGAACTTTGGGAGTCAAATATCTTAATTGTTCCTCATCACCTGTAGATGGTTAGTTTTCCTAAGAAGAGATATCGCCTCGGCATTTGTGCTTTTAGTAATTTCTTTCCCTTTCCTAAAGGAAAAATTGCCTGGATGAATTTCCTGTTTTTGGAAAACAGGATTTTCCAAAACTGATTTTGCAAATGGTAAGTGTCTGGGGGAGGGCCAGAGGGCACGTGGGCAACGAGCTAAGGGTTCCTGCTATCAGGCTGGAATTGCCTTCTGGCTGGAGCACTTGCTAAGGTCTCCCTGACAGTTCTGGAGCTCAGGAGTCTAAAGTGAGCCATTAGGGATTATTACTTCTAGAAGAAAGGCCATCTCTTTGCCTCTTCTGTCCTCTAGAGGCCCGCAGCTTTCTGTTTCCCTCCTGACATGGCTTCGACCTCTGTTTCGGCCATCACTGCACCTTTCTCCGACTCTGGCCACCTCCCTCCCCCCGGGGCCCACCTTAAGAATCTTCAGTCTTCCCATCTCAACATCCTTAACTGCTAATTCTCCTGAACATGTAAGACATACATAGACTCCAGAGATTAGGACACAGGAATCTTTGGGGAAAGGCACAATATGTTATCTACCACAGTCTTAAAAATACAGGAACATTTAATCCAATTGTGGAACCAATTGTTTAAAGTACGTTCTACTGCCCTTACCTCACCAAGAGCTTGTCGAGCCTCAACCATCCTTACGATTTCGGGATCTGGCAGAGCCCCTGGGCACCAGGCATTGCCTTCCCCATATCCAGGCCAGTAGCCTCCCTATAAAGGAAGCACCAAGGTGAGTACAAATACACACCACACACATGTGGTTGGCAAAAGCCCAAGCTCTACCCCATACTCCCAACAAGGCACATATGTTAGCAAAGTAAGACATTCTCTAGGCTATTAGCACCTATTAGTTTATATGTCTGAGCTAACTCAAATGCTCATGTCTTCTGACTAGAAAATGACCTCAAATCCTGAATAATTGAATTTTCTGAGATTCGCTGATATTGCAGAAAAACTTCAAACAGATCTCAGCATTTCTCTCTGCATCACTGCCCTGAAATCAGGCAGGAAGACATCCCTATAGATGTCTGAGATGGATCAACATTAATCAGACAAACTTCAGAAACCTACTACCCCTTATGTGCTTGGCAACTGACAATGAAAAAAGAAAAGAAGACAAAATTTCCCTTTTAAGATATTTATAATTTACCTTTGAAGATGAACCTAACACAGGAAACAAATAGTATTTAGAAAACATTTGTATATTGAACACAAGAATTTCTAAAAAAACCACCCTGTATGAGATGGGTCCTGTTTTTGGCAGGAAGATGGAATTTGAGCTGGACCTCCAGGACAAAGGTCAGTTATCAGGGACAATGAGAAAAAGAAGGCACACATGCATACACATACACATGAACACACACACACACACACACACACACACACTCCACAGGTCAGATCCACAAAAGAAGGGATTTTCATGCCTTATCACAGACTGCCTCCAAAACCTGGGGTGGTGCCTGTCACACAGCACACTCAATAAATATTTGTTAAAGAAATTCCAAGAATGTGGCCTGCCCTCAAGGGAAGCACACAGGCAGAGCCCAGCCTTGAAGATCTGGAAAAGTGTATAAAATTTAGTCAACCACACTAGCAAGCAGGAAGTCTGAATTGAAACAACATGCAGATCCAGCCCCGTGATACTAAGCTCTGGTGAGTGTGGGGAAGCACAGATTCTCACAGTCCATCTGAAAGCACACAGCCACTTTGGAAAGGAATTTCATAGTTTCTATGAAAATTGAGAAGCTACACATCCTTGGATCCAACAATCTCATTTTTTATTATCTATTCTAGAGAAATACTCATTTCTGCCTAAAGGATGCCATAAACAAGGGACAACTGTGCAAGAAAAAAGCTTTGTAAGAGAAAAATAATGGCAACGCCCTTGCCCAATAACAGGACAGTTATGTGACAGGTGCTCTGTGATGCTTATATCTATTGCCCTCCACAGTTCCACCAGCTAGGGGGCCTGCCCCTTAGCTCAGTTCTTTAAGTGGCTGCTTCAACAAAGCAGTCAGGCTCAGGATGCTGTGGTTCGATCCCCACAACTCAAGCCAGCCAAACCTGCCCTGAAGGCATTCGGAGTGAAAAAAAAAATCCTTATCGCAGTTCCACGAGCTCACAGCTGGGCCTTCAGGGAGTGGCTGGATCATGCGCGTGATGCTGGGAGTCTGGGTGTCGGATACTGAGTTAGTCCACTCATGGGTTTATAGTTGGGTGTGATGCTGGGAGGTGCGGTCTGCTGAGAAGAGGCAGGTCACTGCGGGTGGGGCCCGCGAAGATGCATCTTTCCTCCTGCCTTTGATGGCTCCTCAGCTTCCTCCCTGCCACACCATGTGCTGTTTCTCCTCCACCAAGCTGCCCTACCTTGGGCCAGCTGACTATGGATCGAAACCTTTGCAAACAGTGAGCAAAATAAACCTTTCCTCCTTTGACTTGTGAGCATGGAGTACTTTGTCCCAGCAACAAGAAAGCAACTCTGATACATTCTGAGCAGTGCATCCATGGTATACCCAAGGATACACTTAATGGATGCTGATGGCGAATTATCTCCAAGATATTTGTTGAGTGAAAACCACAGACTGTGAAATAATACATATTGTTTCATGGAAAAAAAAATCAATAGAAAGAAATATACATATATAAATACCAATAAAGTAATAAGAGCCAGTATTTATTATGTCTAAAAATATTCAAGGGGCCGGCCAAATAGCTCAGCAAATTAAAGCACCTGCAAGTACACGCACGAGTTCGATCCCCAGGTCTGCCATGCCGGCCCCGCCCCTCCCGTCCCCACCCCCACCCCGTGCCGGCCCCGCCCCCCGGGGCACGCGCTGAGATGGTGATTGAGACTTAGCATGGTGTTGTGTGCCTGTAATCCCAGCTCTTGGGAGGCTGTAAACAGGAGAAACGCTACAAGTCTGATCTAGTAGTGAGACCCTGAACACCCTGTAGACCCTTCCCTAAAATACAGAAAAAAAGTAAAATAAAATTAAAAAATAAAACTATTCAAATACTTTCAGTAGCTATTCTTTTAATCTTCACAAAAACTGAAACAAAGGGGCTGGGGAGATTGCTTCAGTGGAATAAGCACTTCCCTGGCAAGTGCAAGGGACTGAGTTCAATCCCTGGTTCCGGGAAAAAAAAAAAAAAAAATCTGAAGCAAAGTTAAATAACTCAGTCAGGTTCCCTCACTAAAGGTAGTAGCTGAGCCCAAACTTAAGCACTAGAAAGTTAGATGCAGGGCCAGGGATATGGCTCAGGCACACAAGGATCTGCCTGGCAAGAACAGGGTCCTGAGTTTGATCTCTAGTACCGCCAAAAAAAAAAAAAAGGCAAGAGGGACAGAGAGTGGTGGCAGCAAAAGTCAGGCACATGCCAGAAGCTGTGTGTGACCAGCATGCACAAGTGAGGCTGGGGAGCGGCAAATGTGCAAGAGGAAAAGACAGCATGGCGGGGCCTCCCTGAGTCCCGGCAGGAACATGGGGATGAGGATGAGAGGGCTGGGGCAGCATGAGGTGACAAGGGACGCAAGGGCAGCATTGGTCTCAAGTCTGGACAAGTGTTCCCAGGGACAGCAGCACAGTGGTTGGACAGGACAATTTTTTACAGTGAACTTGGACTGGAGCAGAAACAGCACTTTCTAGGACACATTGACAAAGGTCTCCTGTGGACAGCTGGAATTATACCTCAAATAAAAGAAAACTGAGCAGTGTTGCACTCGTAGCACACATAGCACGTTGGTGTCGTGTGTCGTCCTTTCTTCACCTAACCCCACTTACTCCTCTTTTCTCACCTCACGCATCAGTGGCTGCCTGTCGGGTCCGCTCAGCCCATCCTTGGATTTCATGTCCCAGTGGAAAACCGACTTAAAGTGCTTATCATCTCCTTGATCACAGATCTGCACAGGATGATGTCAGCAATGTTCCCATCCGAGAAGAAAAGAAAAATTCGTCAGTAATATACAGCTCGGACTGGAGGATCTTCTCCAAGTCTCAATGCAAAGCATCTTCACTGCTGTCCAAGGCACGGTCGTTGTCCATACTTCTGGGTTTCATCCGGGCCACCAGCCAGGTGTCACATACTGAGCTCTTGCTGTGTGCTGAGCTCTATTGAGGAGTGTAGGTTAAATGTGTAAGATAACGTCAACACACACCCCCAAAGTGTCCAGGCCAGAGTCGACTCAGAGCGCAATGTGCGTCATTGTTCTCTACTTTAGTTTGGTAAAATGTTGGTCTTCCAATTTCATGAGGATATCATCCACATGATGACATAACTCTACCTTCATATTTTGATGTACAACATACCCCGAATTGGTTCTCATTCATGGCTGTGAGGTAGGAGCCAAGGTTCACTCTCTTCATATGAACGTGCAATCCTCCTAGCACCTTACTGAAAGATCGTTCTTGCTCCATTGGACAGTAGTGGTGAATTTGTCACAATGGAAGCGAACATACACAAATAGGCAACTCAATTCTTGGACTACTGGTCTCTCTGTTCAGGGCCAATCCTGCACTGAGTGAATTAGTACTGCTTTTAGAGCAAATCATGAAGTACAATACACTAAATCCTTAAATTGTGTTCTTCAAGATTTTTAGATATTCGAGAGCCCTTATATCTTCAAATCAATTTTAGAATCGATCTTCTAGTGTCTACAAAACACTGGAAGATTTCAGCCGAGATGGCATCCAGTAGCACAGTAACAGCTATGTCACATACATTGGTCAATTTGCAGTGAACTGCCAAGGTAACAGCTTCATGACTTGGGACAAGGAAAGATTTCTTAAGGAAATCATAAAAAAAGACTAACGATAAAGGGGAAAACTCAGGGCCAGCAAGATAGCTCAGCAGACTGAAGCACCTGCTTAGGCTAGCTTAGGCAAGTATAAGGACTGCGGTTCGATCCTGGCACCACATGCTGTGCCAGCCCCGCCCCCAGGGCAGGCTGAGCCTGCCAGAGTCTGGGCATAGTAGCACAAGCCTGTAATCCCAGCACTGGGGAGGCTGAAAGCAGGAGGATCACCATGGATCTGTGCTGCAAAGTGAGACCCTGCAACAACTAAATATTCTTAAATAATAAATAAGTAAATAAAAACTAGAAAATTATCAAAATTTATTAAGTCTGAGATGAGGCCCAGAAATATGAAATTTTCATATGCTGAAGTTTAAATTCTTGCCTTTATAGACAAAAAAGAAGCAAGACAAAATTAAAACCCAGGATTCCAGCTCACTATCACTTTCTGTCACTGAATTCCTAGGACTGCTATGGCTGAGGTTGCTTAACGTAGCTCTAATATATTTTTAAATGTATAAATGAAGGCTTCAGAAACATTTTCCTTGCCTTTGGGAACATCACAGACTGAAGGCAGGATCTCAGATATGCACAGCCAGTTAAATCTTTGCAGCAGGTGTCCCTCAAGCAGTTCTGAGGGTTTAGCAGACTCCTGGTCTCTAGCCAACAAATGTAAGAATTTCCCCCATCCTGACCATGGCCATTCCAAATGTCTCCAGATAATCACCAAATGTCTCACCACTTCCCTAGAGAATCCTATACCTAAGGAATTCCATCCCACTTCCCGGAGGCATTTGCTCCCTGTAGTGCGAATCTGTCACGCCAGAGATCTCTCTGGAGAATCATGATACTCTAAGCAAAGGAAGAGGGGAAAAGCCATACATTACTGGTAAGGTTCACAGTAAGGCCAAAGGTTCTCTCTTTAAGTAGATGGGAATGTAGATATTTCATTCTCTAAAAGTTCTACTCACACCCACCAAACAAGAAATTCTGTCTTAGTGAATATTTACTTTTTAAAAATTTGACATCTAAGAAACCATAAATCTGTGGCAAATGCTAGCTCATAGTCTTTACTCTTCACCATTGTCACTACCACAGAAGCATCCCTTCTCTTCTTTGTTGAAATTTTTATCACATGTACAATGAATTTGGTTTTCCATCAGCTGCCAAAGTTCTCAGAGAGACAAGGGGGTAATAGAAGTAACCTATCACACCCTCACTACAATTGTAAGATCTGAGGCTTAGATGGGATGTGGTTGTGCATTTCAGGTTTTCCTTCTAGGAAAAGAAGTAAAAGGGCTCTCAGTAATTAACTGTTTGTTCATACACACATGTGCTTGTGTAGGCCCACACCTTATACATACATATATGTATGCATGCATCTATACATATGTACACACACCATGTGCACACATGTATGCATGCATACACATACACATGTATGTGTATTATCACACTACAGACACATTACATATATCATGTGCGCATATATGCATATAAACCACATATATATCCAATATATATATATATATATGTAGATACACATTTATATACCTGTGCACATATTACAAATACACATACACATATATGTATGTGTATACACCATCTTTAGATCTGCATACACACATAAACATTCTCCCCTTATGCACACATACATACACATATAAATAGTCACATGGTCACATAGATGTAAACAGATAAACACACAGAGGCCTCCTGGGAAGCTCCTTACATTGCCCATGGCTGGAAATAGAACCGGTGATAATCCTAGGCACCTACAAGGTTGGGTCTGTCATCACAGTTAAAAGAAAGTGAGATCAGCCAAGCAATGGCCGTGACTCATCCACATGGCTGACACTGACAAAGGTTCTACAATCTGAGGTGCAGGATCTCAGGATAAATCCTGAGGGGATTTCACTGACCTTATCAGACCCAAAAGCCACAACTCTTGTTGCATAGGTCATGCTTTACCTTGGTCTTAACCATCCAGCAGAAAAGTATAAAAACGAAGTATAAGAAGTAAAGCCATGCTGTTATGTTCAGCAGTAGGGGACTCAGGTCAACAATTTCTGACATTGCCAGTCAAGCAGAAGACCCAATACTATTATGGACTACTGGACTCTTTTAGAATATTTTGCTGAGTTTACACACCTATAATATTTAAATGATGGAACTTAACAAAAAAAGGGGATACAGATGAATGTCCATTTTGTATCTGTGTATTCAAAGTGGTCAGGATAGATATATAGCTACATTCTCTTATGAATAGAGGGATTTGTTTTAATGGTGTTTGTAAATAGGATATCAAGTCTGCATCTTGTACAGCAATTAACCACTAGGAAGAATGTATACAATGTGTTAATCATTAAAACTGTCCTACCAATTTGGTTTGAAACTGTCTCATTGCTATTTGTTTCTCAATAAAATTATGGAAAAAAAAGAAAGAAAGTGAGATCACTACAAAGAGAGGTAAATATCATGTGACCTGCTACATGCTTGTACTGTGGACTTGGCAGCTAAGGTTAAAGTCAAGTGGCAAATACCGACCCTGTATGTCTTTCTGCAGGAATGGAATTCCTGCAAACAGCATTTTGAGGAGTAAGTCCACTCCTTTCACGCAACTACAGAGACATCTAGATATATAAAAACATAAAGAAGCATTTGTTTGCTTCTGGAGAGTGTACCCACCCTGTAGGTACACACGTAAGTGGGTGCATGACAAGAATTGTGCAATCAGACAGCCCTGGATTTGTACCTAAGGAACTGAGTGAAGCAGGACAAGAGACTTAACAGAGCTGAGTATCAGCTTCTTCAACTGTAATGTGACAATGTGAAGCAGGGGGTTCTTGTGAAGAATAAGTGAGAAAACACACAGATCTCAGCACAGCCTTCAGCACACTGTTTAAGAGCTAAATTCAATATTAATTGTAATGTCATGCAGCTGCCCTCAGACATCAAGAGATAAAAATCAAATTCCTAAAGGAATTAGTCTTTTTTGTAAACTGCTTATGAATTGTGAATTTATTACTTTGGAGGGTGACTAGAAATTGAATCCAGGCCTTTCTCACTGAGCTACTTCCTCAGCTTGATTGATTGATCTTTTGAGACAAGATCTCACTAAATCACTAAGGTACCCAAACTGGTCTTAAGCTTGGGGTCCCTTCTGCCTCAGCCTCCCAGAACACTAGGTTACAGGCATGCACCCCCATGGCCAGCTTGCCCCTGAGTTTTCAAAGCATGTGAATCCCTAGAAGTAGATGTACAAGCTAATCTCTCACCTCTGTTTCCTCACCAGCACAATGGGACAATAACACTACTCACTTCGTTGGGCTGTAATGTGTATGATATGAATAGGCATGGTGTGAATCAAGCGATTCTCTAATAAGTGCTATACACACTTGTTAAATAAAAATAATGATGTCAATTGCCCATTTAAGTGAAACAAGGAACTTGAGAGAGCTTGCTGCATGGGCAGTAGTTCTATCTGATGCCCACTTTTCTAAGGAGGAGGATGGCCCAGCAGGCAAGAGTGTGAGGCCAGGGGACTTCAGTGAGGGAATCCCAGGGGAGGAGAGATTACCAGACAGCCCTCCAACTTCTGGGTAATTTTCTAATTATAGAACACCACTAAGCTCCATCCCATAAAGCAACTTCTCCCTGGGCCTCTGCAAAACTAAGTGCTCAATGATTCACCACTTTAATAGATGCCAGAGTTCAACCAACAGCGAGGTATTCAACAAATCTCTTGATTTTTCCAAAGAAATTAGATTTATCAAAATGGCCTTCTTGTCTACCTCCACCCCAACTCCCCACCCCCAAAGCCAAACTTCGTTTCTAAATCAAAATACGTGTATATTTGACCTAGTCCTACCCTAAAGAGACAGAGGCCACAAAAAATCTTGAAAATCTATTGAGTTCAGAGAGACTTGAGAGTATGAAACTGGAGGCTTTTAATTTTCTATACCTAAATATCAAAGAGGAAAGAAAAGAAGGACCTTTTTAATATTTTTCAACCAGATAAACTTTGTTTTATGTGGTAAGCATCTACTGTATGCCAGGCCTATTTATAAACTAACATTAGTATGTTCAGAGCCAAGCAAACACGAAGGTTGTATTAGGATCAAAGACTTCAAATATGGAACCTAGATTAGCCTGTGTGTTGTATAATGTGGAAAGAGGACAAACGGCACCATTTGTTACCAAAATACACTTTGTGCCTGCGGAGGAAATGAATTGGTGACACAGAGAGACACTTAAAAACCTAACAGGTGACTAAGCACACGGATTTTCTTTAAAAGCTATTTGGAAATGAAAAACCAACTTACCCCACCCACGGCTCCTGGAAATGTCTTCAAATTTAGACTTAATGGAGTGTGATAGACACTAGTGAAAGTGTTGTTCTTGGGGTTATGGCTACAAAAAATAAATATAAATCAAAGTTAGAAGTGCACTTTATTCAAGACGATTGAATGACTCTTCTTAGAGTTAGTTTTAAAATCAGTAAACGTAAAATCTAATAATTACATTCAGGATTTTCCAAGCAGTAAGTCTTACAGGTTTATAGTTAAAATAAACTCAACTTATCCTAAACTTAAAGATAAAATTCAATAGGATATAATCACCAGAGAACTCTGTGAAAAATAGAAAAGAATTTGAAGATTATCTAAAAGAAAAACACTGGAAAAGTTCCATGTGCATAGCTGTGGCGGTGATACTGTTCTGGACAACATTTAACATTGGAAGTTCCTTACAGTGGATAGAATTAATCATTTATTTAAACAAATTTGAAGAATGCTGTCTACCGTATAAAATTCCACATTAGCTGTCTTCGACAGGTGAACACTTTGTGGGAACCTCCCTTGGATTTCACCCTGGCATATTTGACCTGAAACTTTAGTTAGCTACTTGCAGAAAAACAAGCAAAACTCTGGAGGTCAGGGAGGGGTCTCTGCCCACTTACGCGTGACAGTAGGGCTTCTTCTGGTGACTCACGAAGTTATTCACAGACAGCATCATCTTGCAGACTTCACAGTGAAAACACGCCTTGTGCCATATCTAGAAATCACATAGAAAAGATCTGCTGATTAATTCTTTTTTTCCCAGAACCTAGATTGTTATGTGTTTTAGGGTCAAAAAAATTTTTTGGAGATTTAGGGATCATGATTTAAAAATTAAAAACTATATGCACAAATATAGTATGTTAAATAAATGGATAACTGCTCTGAGGCAACGTAGACCTAGAAATGGTTAGAAAGTAAAAAAAGTATGGAAGTACAACTCTTCTTGTGATTGAAAAAACAATTCCCATAACTCTAGTCAGAAGATCAGTTCCCATGTCTGTTTGTATTTCCAAAAGCTGAGAGCTATCTACTGACCTGATCTATACAGCTGATCTTCTCAGCTGGGTAAACCCCGAAGCCACACCTGGAGCAAGCCTGTACATTCATCTTGAAGTCCGAAGACAGAAGACAAAGAGAGGCCACAGACAAAAAAAATCCAGAAAACAGCACGAAGATGGTTGTTCAACTCTCCAAAGTCCCAACCACAACGAAACTCCTGTATGCACCCTGATCCTTCAGAATCCAACTTCCACTTTCCTTTGCTGACCTTCTGGTTGGAAGTCAGCGGCTGGTTGGTTTTTAAAGCTGCCACTTACTCCAGGGACTATTTTGGCAACTCACTCAAGCACGCATGCGTCTGGGAAATAAGGTGGAGGTATTTCTAGCCGACATGCTTCTCGAAATAGAAAAGTGAACTCACAACGGCCTCATGTTTATGTGGAGAACCAAATCCTGCTGTATGATCAGCCAGCACGTCGTGGCTGAGCACCAGCTGTGATCATAACCCAAGAAAAGAACCTAAAGAATACACCATGCATCATCCAATGGTAGAAATAGCAAAGTTGGATGCAGGCATCCCATGACTAAAGCAGACAGGCCAGCTCCCGAAATACAAGAAATAAAGTAAGATTGGTTCGCTCTTTCAGAAGGGTGAATATGCTGTGCAAAAAAATTTCAGCTTTATTTACCAAAATATTCACAGCAGTGAAAGCACAAACTTTTTAAGACATTAGTTTGTATTTATCATCTACTGGGATGAAAAAATAAGAATAAATTAGACCTGTTGATGTGTTAGCCTTTGTGTACTATCCTGGAATGTTCCAGAAAGGCCTTTCTGCATGTGCTCTTGCCTCACAGGCCCTATTAGAGGTGGCTGGAAAACAGTAATCCTTCTTTCTGGATTTGTAAGTCTCTCATTGCCTTCAGTCTCTGCTTAAATGTCACTTCATTGCTTTGCAGGAATACTTCATATAAAATGATAACTTATCCCTCCCCCACCCCAAGCTCATTATCGTCTCTTCCCTCCGTCTGCTCATTCATCTTCAGAGCATTTGTTGCCACTGGAAATATTAAACATTAATGTAGCTATTTTTAAAATTTACATTGCTGCTATGAAAACAACTTCCACTAAAATGGGATACTTAGTCCTTGTTGCTACTTTTTTTAATCCCTGGGGCTTAGAACAGGGCCTGGCTTTTGAAAGGTACTCAGTAAGGCTTTAATGAAAGTATGAAATAGGGGCCAGGGAGATAGCTCAGTAGAATAAGAGCTTGCCTTTCAAGCACAAGGGCCTGAGTTCAATCCCTGGTTCCACAAAAGGAAGAAGAAGGAGGAGGAGGAGGAGGGGGAGGAGGAGGGGGAGGAGGAGGGGGAGGGGGAGGAAGAAAAAAATGAAATAAACCAAAATGCCTGTAGAGGACAGGGATAAAATTATGGCTATCTATAATCCCCTCATGCCCATATCTAGCATTGCCAGATGTTCTGATTTTTCCAGAGAAGCTAGAAATCTGAATTTATGAAATAAATTCATATTATGTAACACTGAGAATAAAACAATTAAAAAAGCCATGAGCAGTTGAATTTTTCTGGGAGGCTACCAGTTTGTGAACTTTGCCCTCAGTGCTCTGCTTAGGTAAGGAGTCCCCAGGAGGGGTGGAGAGAAAGCTGCAGCATGTTTATGCTACACGAAGACAGACAGGAAAAGAAAGATCCTACAAAGAAAGTGAAGAGTCACACTGACAAGAGACTAAGGGTAGGGTCAGGTCGGAAGTTATCCCATTCAGGACTCAAGGCTGCTCTCTATGTATGAACTTGAAGCAGGGACACCAGTCTGAGCCATTCCCATGAGAAATGTGACCCAGGCAGCGGGGCTGCTGGCAGCCTGAGCAAATGGGGACAGCAACTCTGGATGGTTTGCTCCGTATTGGACTGCTCAAGCCTTTTCTGGGAATGGGGTGGGAATCCCAAAAATCCCTAAGAATAAACTTACCCAGTCTAGAGGGTTGAGTGTTCATGATGACTTTCATTGAAGGAAAGAGGTTCTTAACATTCCTTCCCTGCCAGTGGCCGTCCTTACAGGCTACAGCTGTTACAACTTTTCAGCTAGATTTGAGACACAGAGGGCTACTGAAATGGAAGATTTAATCTGACCTGTGCCCTTACTTCTGCTTCATTAGAGATCAGAAATTGAGGGGAGAAACAACCTCATAGAACTAGAAATGGGATAATTGAAGGGACTAGAAGCAAATACTCATGGCCAGAACGACATAGACACAGTTTGGACAGGTGCTGTGGTTTGAATGTATCCCCTAAATTTCACAAGTTGGAAACTTCATTCCCAGTGCAAGTGTTGGACAGGAGCCTCATCAGGAAGGGGTGATTAGTGGATCAATGTGCTAACTGAGAGAGTGGCTTGTTGTACAGTGAGACGGTCTCCCTCTTGCTCTTTTCCTGTGGCTCT